ATATATTGACTACATATTATATAGCATTTAATCTAACATAATTGATATAAAGGATTTGTAATTGCGTTATCAGCGGAATGAATATGTTTCTTTACCGGAATGGATGTATGTGTCTGTATGTGTATTTCTATCGAGTATGTATCATACTTTTAAATATGTACAGTAATATTCAAGAAAAATCCTTCATGTAATATAAAAATTATTGATATCTCGATGCTTTTGTTAAAAAACTGACTCATGTTTTGTAATATTTATAAAAATAATCGCGGAATGTATTTAGAGAATTCGTTTTATTGTAATTTAAATCTATTGTACAAGAATATATGGAAAATTTTTTCGTCCGAATTCGTAAAATTATTGTAATCAATATGCAAATTCAAATTAGATTGTGCAAATCCGCACAGAATCTGACCGAAATAAATTCCTACGTAAGATCAAATATCTTCAATATAATTGATACCACGTATATCTTTTCTTTATCCGCGTTATGTGCACTTAAAATCCTTATACGCGTTGCCAGATGTTTACTCGAAAACGGGTATTTCCCGATGGGCATTCTCATTACTTTCACGGTCATATCGTCCGTTTTATCAGAAAAACCATTATCCAGACATGGATCGGTCGAACTACCGCTTTTTTTGTCTAGACGTATAAAACTCTCTATTCTCATACTTGTTTAAGAACATTTGCATCGGTAATTATAGCATTTGCACAGGAGCATGTCGTGCGATGCTCGAGGACGCTGTCACTTCTTCTACAAGAAACATGTGCCGGTGTTTGGAAACAACGAAACAGCACATCCTACAAAAATCAAACTTGAAACTTGTAGTAAGCGCAATAACTATCATCGGGATAAATTGTGGGTTGAATACCGTCAGAAGAATCTAGAATTAAAATTAAATAAATTATAGTAGAAGAAAAGTTGATATGTAGCAATCTATCACATAACATAAAATTTTATTTTTACATATATTTATATGCATTTTATTAATATACATATATATATATATATATACATGTATATAAAATGCATAAAAATCACATGACATCTGATTGCATCCGATACTCAATATGTATATATATACACAATAAAATGCCAAATGTGTATTATTGTATTAATAATAAAAATGACTGCGTGTGTACAAAATGTAAGCGAAAGCGATTGCGTCTAATATTTGATATATGTAATGTGTGTGTGTATGTGTGTGTATGTGTATGCAAAATGTAGTAGTGTAACAGCGAAAGCGATTGCGTCATGTATAATGCTGTATATACTTGTACATATATAAGAGAATCGATAATCATTTGTAAAATATATTTTGTAATTTTTAGAAATATCTAATAAATTTGTATTAATAATACAAAACGTATAATGTCTTTTGAATAAACCTAAGTATTCATTCCTGCACTTGTGCCATACACACCGCTTTGCTAATTATATATTTTCGTGATACTTGTTGCCAATCTTTTGTTTTTGAAATTTTTGAAACTGCGTTTCTTGGAATTAAATATCAAGAAAATATAATCAGCAAAGAAGTGGCATAAACTAAAATTTCGAAAAACGCGAAAATTTGAAGTTTCAAAATCTGCAAAAGTATCAGGAGAACATGATCAGCAAAGAATTCGCATAAAGGTTAATTACGGAAAGCGGAAAATTTGAAGCTTCGAAATCCGCAATAGTATCAGGAGAACATGATCAGCAAAGAATTCGCATAAAGGTTAATTACGGAAAGCGGAAAATTTGAAGCTTCGAAATCCGCAATAGTATCAGGAGAACATGATCAGCAAAGAATTCGCATAAAGGTTAATTACGGAAAGCGGAAAATTTGAAGCTTCGAAATCCGCAATAGTATCAGGAGAACATGATCAGCAAAGAATTCGCATAAAGGTTAATTACGGAAAGCGGAAAATTTGAAGCTTCGAAATCCGCAATAGTATCAGGAGAACATGATCAGCAAAGAATTCGCATAAAGGTTAATTACGGAAAGCGGAAAATTTGAAGCTTCGAAATCCGCAATAGTATCAGGAGAACATGATCAGCAAAGAATTCGCATAAAGGTTAATTACGGAAAGCGGAAAATTTGAAGCTTCGAAATCCGCAATAGTATCAGGAGAACATGATCAGCAAAGAATTCGCATAAAGGTTAATTACGGAAAGCGGAAAATTTGAAGCTTCGAAATCCGCAATAGTATCAGGAGAACATGATCAGCAAAGAATTCGCATAAAGGTTAATTACGGAAAGCGGAAAATTTGAAGCTTCGAAATCCGCAATAGTATCAGGAGAACATGATCAGCAAAGAATTCGCATAAAGGTTAATTACGGAAAGCGGAAAATTTGAAGCTTCGAAATCCGCAATAGTATCAGGAGAACATGATCAGCAAAGAATTCGCATAAAGGTTAATTACGGAAAGCGGAAAATTTGAAGCTTCGAAATCCGCAATAGTATCAGGAGAACATGATCAGCAAAGAATTCGCATAAAGGTTAATTACGGAAAGCGGAAAATTTGAAGCTTCGAAATCCGCAATAGTATCAGGAGAACATGATCAGCAAAGAATTCGCATAAAGTTAAATTACGGAAAGCGGAAAATTTAAAGCTTCGAAATTCGCTAAATATCAGGAGAACATAATCAGCGAGAAGGTGGCACAAACTGAAATTTTAAAAATGCGAAAATTTGAAGCTTTGAAATCCGCAAAAGTATTAGGAAAACATAATCAGCAAAGAGGTTGTACAGACTAAAATTTCAAGGAGCGTGGAAATTCAAAGCTTCAAAATCCGCAAAAATATTAGGATTTTTTTTTGTTTTGCGAAGGAAGAGAAAAATGCATTATGCATTCCCACCGGCCGGTCCGGTGGGATATGCGGGACTCGCACCCGCTAAAAAACTCTCCCTGCAGGGCCAAGCTTTGGCCATACTTACACAAATTTAAATTCTGAGATATAGGGAACACATGATATGCAAGAAAGGTAATACAAATAACAACATAAAAATATTAGGATTTTTTTTTGTTTTGCGAAGGAAGAGAAAAATGCATTATGCATTCCCACCGGCCGGTCCGGTGGGATATGCGGGACTCGCACCCGCTAAAAAACTCTCCCTGCAGGGCCAATCTTTGGCCATACTTACACAAATTTAAATTCTGAGGTATAGGGAACACATGATATGCAAGAAAGGTAATACAAATAACACCAAATTAGAAATTTTAAAAACTAACTTTATTTTCTTTTCTCATTTACAATATATAGTGAAAATTATTATTTCTAAATTATTTGTTTTTACAACTCATCTCTCAATTTTTACAAATGATCGCTATACAATTTATAAACACTTGAGGAGAAAGAAATCTATATTTGAGACACGATTCATTAATTGTATCGATTTAAAATGATGTTGAAATTGCAGTCAGAGACATGTCATTTCTACTGTTTTTGACGTCGTATAAATCCGAATTTCGACTAGGTTTTCAATTAGGTTTTTGACGTTTCGACGTTAAATGAATCACACGTTTCTGACTGGGATTCATTTGACGTCGAAACGAATATATATATATGTCAGACACTAAACAAAGCGATAGATATGAGAAAAGGAACAAAATAAATTTGTCTTCTCTACAAGTTATTGAATGGATTTTTAACGGATGTTTTACCTGTCTATCTCTTTTTTATGGTAAAAATAAATGTTACAATAGATATAAAATCGCGTGATAAAGAAATTTATTGCACACTATCGTAATACACACACACACATACACACACACACACACACACACATATCTTCGTAACATTTACAATATTATTTATCATTATATTTTTCATGAATAATTTGTAAATAATATCACATATCGTAGTTACCTCTAAAAGCCATAAAAAATATCTTATATACTAATAAATGAATGTATTTGCAACTTTGAGACGCATTCAGGAAAATCGGTAGTAATTTATACACACATTAAATCTAATTACATATCTTATGTAAAAGAAACGACATCAATTCGTCTCTTTACCTATGTACTTAGGTTTTGAACACAGTTTGTTCTCCTTGTATCATTAAACTCGAAGATCTTCTCAAGAAAAATTTTCCCGATTTGCGTTTACCTTTCGAGAGAATGATCGTCAAAAGAGCTCACACAAATAATCCAACGGGATTTACTAGTCGAAATATACTATATCTCAATTGGCAATGAATAGAAATGACAGAGAAGTCGCAAGTCAATCGCAAGTTAATCATGTAATTTCTCATGGGAATACGCAATCTGAAAAAGCCGCGAGAATTGACGTTGAAATCGAAGGAAGCATTGCGTACGGAGAACGCGTTGATATATATCGACAATTCGCGAATGGGCGAAAATGCTGGAGGAAAATAACGTCAATTAACGTGCGACTTCTGTCAGAAGGCGTTCACATATTTCAACAAGCATAGAAGGAAGCATATCGGCGAATAGCCTTACACATGTAACAATTGTCAACGAAAATTCTCGTATGCGTCTAATCTTATCAGGCATCAACAAGCGCATCCCGGGATAAGGCCCTTTTCCTGTCAGAACTGCGGACGCATCTTCACTCGAAAGGATTTATCCTGAGCTCTTCGTCCATTTAACTTAACAGCAAAGCGTCGTATCGTTAAATTTTGAAATCTTTGTTTAAGATACGATAATGTAAGATGCAATAGAAATCACAGCAACAAAGTGATGTCCTGTAATAATATATAAATCAGATAGATACAATCATTTCTGTAAAGAGAAGAATGATATATTTTTTAGAATAAGATCTTTTAGTTAGAATTTCATTTTTAGACTTTAGAATCAATATTTGCTACGAGATGTGTATTTGTGATCTGTTTATGTAGGACTAATTTATAAATCTATATACAAAAATAATATTATTTATTCTGCATTAATCAATAATAATGTACAATGATGTATAATGATGCGCAACCACTTTTGTCTCTTATATAATCTTCAACAAATATAAAATTGCTTGAAATATATTACTAATTAAATATAAACACTGCACTACTTTGAAATTACACCATGTCAATAAATCTGATTGCATGAAGAAAATATACGAACCTTTGAATGAAAATAAATAATGCTAATGTGTATACAGCATTCTATACATTAGTATGCACTTCCTGTGCATTTGAAATAAAAGTGTAAGAAGCATCTTTTTGCATTGGACGTTGCAGTGGATGCGCCAAGAGTTTTGCCATATTATCATGTAATTTAGCTGGATTTCTGCCTACTTCAAAAATGTAAGAGTAATTTGTCGTGTCCAGAGCCGCAATTTCGGCATATACCGCCTCGCACATGTTGTCGTCGCTGGGTGGTTCGTGAACGAACAGCACATCCAAGAAGAAACACGGATTCTCTGTCAAGTTCTCCAGATACTTCTGGCCGGTGCGAAACTTGGGTACAGAGTTCGATCGTCCGTATATCAGGATGACGCGCGAGACGAACATCGGCCGATTCATCGCCGGGGTCGCTACCCGTGCGTGTATCGTCTCGAATAGCTGTCCCAGATCGTAGGTCCTCTGCTCCTCTTCCAGCACATCCTCTGCGATACCCTCCAAATGATTGGCTATCGTCTTAATGTTACTGGTATAGTCGCAGAGCCAGAACGCACCCTGCGAATCCAGACTCATCAGCGCGTACTCGTGTACCCCGGGCTGTATCGTGGCCTTTGCACAGACGAAGCTCTCGACCACGCGTTTTATCATATACAGTGGCGAGTACGTCGCACCCGTGCCGAGCTTGAAGGGCGTGCATTGTTGTTCTCGTACTGTATCGATAACGAGAATAATCTTCTCGGGTAGATTGAGCTCGGGGATATTTCTCACAAGGACGTAATTATCCACGGTAGTGGTGGTGGTAGAGCTGGTAGCGGAGCAAGACTTCTTGCCGTCCACGGATTGGCGGTTCGCGCCATTATTACTGTTCCTCCGCGAGCTTTTACCTTGTTGTTGTTGTTGTTGTTGCGCGTTATTGTACGCGGAATCTATAGTTGTGGCGGTCTGCAATCTCTCGGATATTATCTCGATCTCGGATATTACCTCATTCGATTCCTTGTCTGACATATTTGTATCCTATAAGTATACGCAGGGACAGCGTAGGAAATAAATCGTACCTCGAAGTAGAATTCTTGTCTGACCTTGTGGCTTTCCTCGAAAACAATCAATCCGTTGTTCGGATCGATCGGAATCGAAGCGACAAAATTGGAATGTATCATATAAGTACTCAATAATATTACACGACATTCACCGATGCCTGCATCTGCATGCTTGCAAGCCCATGCGAGTCGATTCGTCCATTGAATGCATTGAGTGTGATTCGAAATCAATGATTCAAAATGTACGACTAAAGTGTGCGACCAAAATTGTCCAAATAAATTCATAATGCATATGCCTAAAAAAATGGGCCAATCAAATACAGGGATATAGTTGATTTTTCTAGATACTTTCTAGATAGAATATATTCTAAAAGTTGCCTACCCTGTTTTGTAAAACCGCAATGGACAGATTACGCACGCGCGTTGTAAAGCCCGTTCTACATTGATCGCATGTCGCCAGTCGCAAGCAAATCGACCAATCACAGTCGAATATTCGACGGAATAATCGACTGTGATTGGTCGATTTGCTTGCGACTGGCGACATGCGATCAATGTAGAACGGGCTTAATATTGCAGTATTTATGAATGTCAAATACCAACTAGTGAACCATGTGTTCGTAGCTTTTGCCCGAAAGAAATCAGCGAGCACGTTAGCACACGTGGTAAAACAATTTTCTTTGCGTATCTGTTAAAAAAATTCTGTTAAAAAAATGTCTGAGAAAGTGCTGATGCGAAAAATTAAAAAACGGGAAAGGACGAAATTAACGAAAATAAAACAACGGGAGGAAGAAAGAGGTAAGAGATAACCTTCGAGATTCTCTTGTGAAGCAAAGATCATGTGGGAATTTATTGAGATTTAATTATTTTCAAGATTGTGTATACACAAACGTATCATTTGATTAATAAATAATTGTCCATTATTATGTAATTATGATATGAAATAATCTTTTATTTATAAAGCTGATGGTCTCTTTCATTGTTAAATACATATTTTTTCAACATTACTCTCTGCCATTATTTATTTTAAGCAATACTTATTTCTGTTGTAGATACAATTGAATCAGAAAATACAAATGAAATAAATCGACAATGTACGGAAGAAAAAGTTCCTCCAAAAAGTAAGATTTTTAAATTATTTTGTTTTTTTATAAATGTGTGCTTGTATTTTGTGTGTAATCTATTTTACTAAGAAACTAATAATGTTATTTGCAAATTAGTTTTATTGTGTGAGGCATATAGGCTGTAAAGCTTATCAACAATTATTGTGAAACACAATAAAAATAAGACTAGTTCTAGCAAGTTCCTTTGCGCCCAATCTCCTGACTCATTTAACCCTTATAACTTTTCGGCCAGCCTTACAATTGATATTTTTATATTTTCCGTTTATTATATAATTATTAATTTTTATATCTTTTTAGAAAAAAGGAAATTTTCAGAAGAGTCGGAGAAAGAAACCACTGAGAATTGTATGTATACTTGTGATAAAATGATAGTAGTTTAATAATATTTAATATTCCTGTTTAACATTTTTATATATATTAATTTATTTATTTAGTACCAGGTACAGCAATGGGTATTTTAACAAATGATACAAGCTTCTCCATCTTAAATGAAAGAGTATGCGAAAATACCTTGAAAGCAATACAAGACATGTCATTTACAAAAATGACAGAAATTCAAGCAAAAGCTATTCCGCATCTTTTAGAAGGAAGAGATTTGGTAGGTGCTGCTAAAACTGGATCTGGCAAAACACTGGCATTTTTAATTCCAGCAATTGAATTGATTTACAAGTTGAAATTTATGCCTCGTAACGGTATGTAAACTTGATAGAGTTTAGAATATATAGTCTGTATTAGAATGATATCAAGTTATTTTTTTATTTCATAAATGATTTTGATATAAACAAACAATAATAATTGTCGCTTAAACGTGAATAATAATAATTATTTTTATTTAATTTGATATATTTTTATCTTTGAGCTATATAGAAATAAGTTTACAGAAATTATACTAAAGTTTCTTATACTGTCTTGATCACTTTGATGCTTCAATCGTACAAAATTAATAAGGGTAAAAAGTAATGTATTTGTTATATATTTGTAGGTACTGGATGCATTATTATGTCTCCCACTAGAGAATTGTCTATGCAAACTTTCGGCGTTCTGAAAGAATTAATGAAATATCACCATCACACATATGGTTTATTGATGGGTGGTGCCAATAGACAAACTGAAGCACAGAAGCTTGCAAAGGGAATCAACATTATCGTGGCGACACCGGGACGATTGTTAGATCATTTGCAAAACACACCTGACTTTTTATTCAAGAATCTTCAATGTCTAGTGATTGATGAAGCTGATCGTATTCTAGATATTGGATATGAAGAAGAGTTGAAACAAATCATTAACATTCTTCCTAGTTAGTGACATACTACAATACAAATTAAAATTAAATTATATATTTTTTTCTCCATTACTATGTAAACTGTTATTGCAGAACGTCGGCAGACCATGCTTTTTAGTGCAACGCAAACACAAAAGGTAGCAACAATAACAACATTAGCTCTCAAAAAGGAACCTATATATGTTGGAGTTGATGACAACAAAGAAATGGCAACCGTGGATGGTTTACAGCAGGGTTATGTAGCATGTGCGAGCGAAAAACGATTTTTACTTCTTTTCACATTTCTAAAGAAAAACAGAAAGAAGAAGATAATGGTTTTCTTTAGTTCGTGCATGTCTGTCAAATATCATCACGAGCTCCTGAATTATATTGATTTACCTGTAATGAGCATACATGTATGTGCTATTAGATACTTTGTCTTTGATACTTTTTAAAATCGTTACTCTCTCGACTCTACCTTTATGCTTTGATTATGTTGATAGGGTAAGCAAAAGCAAACGAGAAGAACTACCACTTTTTACCAATTTTGCAATGCTTCTACTGGAATTTTACTCTGCACTGATGTGGCTGCGAGAGGTTTAGATATACCCGATGTTGATTGGATTGTGCAGTATGATCCACCAGACGATCCTAAGGTAAAAAAAGATTGTTATGATAATTCACTTTGCTTATGTTGAAAGAGTGAGAGAGAAAGAGAAAAATTGGATACATGGTTGAACTATTATTGAGAAACGGTAATCAAACCATAAATATGGACTTACGATTAATGGATATCATACATTTTTTAGGAATATATTCATCGCGTAGGCCGAACTGCTCGTGGAGAAGGTAGCAGCGGTCATGCTTTATTGATACTGCGACCGGAGGAGCTTGGCTTTCTTCGTTATCTCAAGGAAGCTCGTGTACCTGTCAATGAATATGAGTTTTCTTGGAATAAAATTGCTGATATTCAATTACAGGTATATTATATATAAATATATTTATATATTATATTCAATATAGTATTGTGAGCCATAACTATTATGGACAATCCATAATTAAGAAGTCTAAAAACACTGACATTATATGGTTGATTAATGAAAAATGGAGAAATTTAAACTAATCTGCAACTCTTTTTAATTAATATTTCTGCATATTACAGAGTGATATTGATATAAGACAAATAACTTTTATTTTGTTTATAGCTTGAGAAACTAATATCGAAGAATTATTTTTTACATCAATCGGCGAAGGAGGCGTTCAAAAATTACGTTAGAGCGTATGATTCCCATCATTTGAAACAGGTTTTCGACATAGAAACCTTAGATCTGGCGAAAGTTGCCAAATCATTTGGATTTACTGTACCGCCGGCGGTAGACTTGAGTAAGTGCTATTAATAAGAGATTTAACATTAGAAATTATTATATAATAGAAAAAATACATACATATTCTATGAAAGGATAAGCTTGAACAAACGCAAAAATATGCAAAGTATTTTGTAATAAATTATTTATAACTTTAACATATTTTAAAAATATGTGCAATATATTTTTAAATTTCAAGTATCCGGGATACTTGAAATTTAAACATTCTTTCCATAAATCTGAAAAATATTTTATAATCTATTTAATTTTTTAATTGCACAATACAGAAGTTGGATCCAGCAAGGCTTCAAGACCACGAAAAAGGCTTGGTGGAGGTGGTTACGGGCATTACAAAAATATGAACAAACCGAAATTGTCCAAGGGCAAGACATTCCGACAATTTAACAGATAATTACAATGCATACACATAGACAAGCAGTGGTATATAATGCGTCATCAAGAATTTATATACCATTAATATATTATTGTACAGCTTATGTTTGTATTAGATCAAAATCAGATTTTTGATTTATATTAAAAAACTTATTCTCGAGATTTTTAATCAAATTGTTTGATTTACGATCTCTAATGATCTTGAATTATCTTGTTTTCCCTAAATTTTTCGCTACGAATTGGAATTCATCAACTTGTTATGAAGGAAAGACTTCTGCATTTTTTTTAAACATTGTTTACGTTTTTACACTTGTAAAAGCAGTATAATGTGCATACAGATAAAATTGTTCTTTAATCAGCATTAAGCCTATATCAGATTATGCATGAGATTTACAATAATCCCTCTTTACCCCCCTGGAGAGACGAAGGCGAGAAAAATATCGGGGCGAAGTCACTGAATCGGGAATCGAACCCGTCTTTCGCTTTCCGAAAAGTAACTAAAATTTCTTTTTTCTGATTGATCAATTTTTAATTTTTAATCTCAACGTAAGGTCTGATCTTAGAACATATAAATGGAAGGGGAATGCCTTTGTTTCCCGATAGAAAAACATGTCAAAAGGAAGTGAGAAAGAAAATCATAGTTGCCTCTCTCTTGTGAGTAACTCTCTTGCCAATGTGGAGAGAAAAAGATACACTCTGAACTAGTGCAACCAGTTCAGCTATAAAGAACAGACCCATAGCAACCAATAGCAACGCGACAGGCGAATGTTAACGAAATATGGCTCTTGCAGACCAGCGCGATGACGCGACGCACGATATCCAATGAGAGCTTTATTTTTTTCGGAAAAGCGGTGCTCTCATTGGATATCGCGCGTCCCGTGCGCGTCATCCTTAAATCAAGGCAAACGCTCGGTCTAGATATACTATGTCTATGGCAAGAACCAATATAGTGTCATGATACACAGGTTATGCACAATTTTGCAGCAGTTTCGTGAATTTTGTGAATGCAATACTTCTCTCTCTCTCTCTCTCTTTCTTGCCCGAAAATCTTCGTTTTAATATCCATTTAAATTATACAAGTCAGTGTGAGCGATGCGTGGCGCTGGGCGTAGAGTCGCACGCTGGTAATCGAAGAATTCCAGGTTTGATTCCGCTCGGGTCCCATCCTCCCAAATTTATAATAGTTTAATGAACATAATTTTTTTTATATAATACATTTGAAAATAATATATTATATATATATGCATATACTATAAACATCAATATGTACTATTTTAATGAATATATGTTATTCTCGTGATAGAGTAGAAAAAAAAGGTTAACATACTTCAATAAACTGAATTTAGCAAGAAATTTACCGTGAAAAAAATAAACGAGGTAATTATCCTATTTTAATTATCGATTTATATATCGTCCTAACGTTTTCCACTATTAGTTCAAATGAAAATCATATATTACCATCATTATTCGATGTCGATAGCATGACGATTACCCATAATTGTTGGCTATACGTAGACAATAGAGGTGTCTTCATAATGAATGGACCGGTGGCCATATCGTTGCCGTTCAGATGCTCTTTGTGTTCGCTGGTCGACGTTATAGGCGGTCCTTTAAAAGCGTCAATATTTTTCATAAGTCCATTGTTTTGTAAGATTAATAATAGTAATTTGTTATTCGGGTATCGCACGATTTAGGGTATCTCGAGATGATTGGAAAATTATTGCCAGAATACTCACCGGCGAGGCCGATAAACACCGATAATCCAAAACACGCAAAAAAGGCAACGAATACCATAACAAATTCCCTCTTGTGCATCGAATACAATCGCATCTGCACGGATCTAGACGATAAATTTAAATTAATGATATACAGCTAAAATATATGGATTTCATGAATTAATTATAAATGAATTAGTGACGAAAAAAAATATATTTTGCGACATCTCATATCATAAATATGAACGTCGTGAATTATGTCAAATTGTGATAGAAAAAAAAATCCGTTCGCTTTTTTTATATGGCCCTCACGTATACATTCATATATTATAATAAAAAGAAGGAAAGGAACGAATTTTTTAAACAGTCCTGCTATTTTTTTCTATCGGGTTTTCTTGAGTTCTTTAAATATAGCTTTCCGGAAAATTGCTTATCTCTCGCAGCGATCATGATGATAAGCAGGCGCGATGTACTTGTTAAATTCGCTAAAGAGGTCACTGAACTGTGACAATGCGTTCCTGACCTTGCGATTCCAACCAGCAGATGGAAGGTGATACGAGTATCCTAATCCGGGTCCGTCCATCATCTTCAAGATTCCGCGAAATTTTTCATATACTTAACGATTCTGATTATGTGCATTCTTTTTTATTTTACAGTCAATAATTAATATACAGTTTTATTTTTATACGATACATATATTTTTAAGCATTATTAATATATATTTTTTTTTTCGCGGAGAGTGAATTGAATTTGAGTGCATTGAATTTTTATAGAATTTAGGAGAAAAAAATAACAAATTCAATATTTTACAAGAAAATGATATGAGCTGTAATGAAATTCTGCAAAACTATTTTTTATATATATTAATGGAATTTACAGATACAAGCACTTCAAAGTCTTATTAGTCATGTCAAAAAATGAAATAACAGAAATTTACACAAATTACGAGTGTGACACTGACAATATTAAGTGGTTTTCAATTTATAAAAATGCACACTTGTATGTCGAAAATATTTTGCCATACAAATTACAGTAGTATTAAATGGATATAAAGGATAAAGTATATCTTTTAGTTTACCAATTTCTTTTATCAAATAAAAAAGATTTTTGTTTCATGTTAACTTATTCACGTAATTAATTAAAATAAGAAAGAAATATTTCAACAAAAAGGAAGAGAAGTATATGTAAAAAAATATCTTGCACGATACCTGTCGTTTTTCAATAGAGAAATTTATCGCGCGCGAAATAATGATCCGACTAATCGCAATAATATACAGTTTATAATAAACGACAAATTTTATGCAGATATACACGTTATATATGCCTTGTGAAACTAAAATACAATTGAAGTCGGATTTTATATACACTGATGATACATTTGTTGAGATTGGATAAGGAATTCGCGTGAACGGGACGAAAGGATTGAGAAATAAAAGCAGATCTCCCACGATTAAAATAAATTACTTATTACATATATGTACATTTTATTCTAAAAAATAAAAAAAACACTCTTACAAAATACAGCTTTAAAATTGAAAAACCAAGTATTGATCCGTTAATCCCAATATTTGATCTTTCCGTCCCAACCAGCTGTAACGAGCTTAGAAGGCTCGTGCGGATGCCACAGTACGTCGATACATACTCCGTCATGTGCTTTCCACTTTTTGTACAATTTCGTTGTTTTCCAGTCCCATATGTAACATTTTCCGTCTGCATCACCCGACACCAAGTAGCTATTAAAAATAAAAATAAATAAATAAATAAAAAAATAAAAAAAAATTTTAATAAAACAAATATTTTTCTAGAAATGTTTTTATATAAAATTAATTAAATGCATATGCATGTAATAGTGCAAAGTGCAAAAAATACATTTACGAGATGTCGCAAAATTGGCAACATTTATTTCACATTATGTCGTTATATGACTATTTTAGTGTTTATTCAATTCGAGAAGAAGACATTTCAAGAGAATATATAAAAATTAGTAATTTCTTTTTTTAATATAAATTACCTCATATCTGGAGAGAAATCTAAACCGCACGCGTATCCAGCGACCATGTGTCCCGTGAAGGTTTTCTTTCGATTCATTTTGAATCTATTCAACGCCGAGAATGTGACGATTTTGTTGTCCATACTTTGGCAGGCAAGCCATTTTTGATTTCGCGACGGCGTTACGGCTGGCATGGAATGCATCGATGGATCGGCAATGCACACTTGTATGTCGAAAATATTTTGCCATACAAATTACAGTAGTATTAAATGGATATAAAGGATAAAGTATATCTTTTAGTTTACCAATTTCTTTTATCAAATAAAAAAGATTTTTGTTTCATGTTAACTTATTCACGTAATTAATTAAAATAAGAAAGAAATATTTCAACAAAAAGGAAGAGAAGTATATGTAAAAAAATATCTTGCACGATACCTGTCGTTTTTCAATAGAGAAATTTATCGCGCGCGAAATAATGATCCGACTAATCGCAATAATATACAGTTTATAATAAACGACAAATTTTATGCAGATATACACGTTATATATGCCTTGTGAAACTAAAATACAATTGAAGTCGATTTTATATACACTGATGATACATTTGTTGAGATTGGATAAGGAATTCGCGTGAACGGGACGAAAGGATTGAGAAATAAAAGCAGATCTCCCACGATTAAAATAAATTACTTATTACATATATGTACATTTTATTCTAAAAAATAAAAAAAACACTCTTACAAAATACAGCTTTAAAATTGAAAAACCAAGTATTGATCCGTTAATCCCAATATTTGATCTTTCCGTCCCAACCAGCTGTAACGAGCTTAGAAGGCTCGTGCGGATGCCACAGTACGTCGATACATACTCCGTCATGTGCTTTCCACTTTTTGTACAATTTCGTTGTTTTCCAGTCCCATATGTAACATTTTCCGTCTGCATCACCCGACACCAAGTAGCTATTAAAAATAAAAATAAATAAATAAATAAAAAAATAAAAAAAAATTTTAATAAAACAAATATTTTTCTAGAAATGTTTTTATATAAAATTAATTAAATGCATATGCATGTAATAGTGCAAAGTGCAAAAAATACATTTACGAGATGTCGCAAAATTGGCAACATTTATTTCACATTATGTCGTTATATGACTATTTTAGTGTTTATTCAATTCGAGAAGAAGACATTTCAAGAGAATATATAAAAATTAGTAATTTCTTTTTTTAATATAAATTACCTCATATCTGGAGAGAAATCTAAACCGCACGCGTATCCAGCGACCATGTGTCCCGTGAAAGTTTTCTTTCGATTCATTTTGAATCTATTCAACGCCGAGAATATGACGATTTTGTTGTCCATACTTTGGCAGGCAAGCCATTTTTGATTTCGCGACGGCGTTACGGCTGGCATGGAATACATCGATGGATCAGCTATATATTTCATGTCCACTGGAATATCCACGTATAAAAAAGAAGAATTTATTAATCAATCTTATTTTTCGAAAATAACCCCGATAATAAATATTTTTCAGAAATAAAATAATTTACGAATAATAAAGCAATACCATTCCCAAACTCGCAGACTTTTGTCGTCACTCGTTGTAACAAATCTTCTGTTTTCATCGACGAACGTAATAGTATTCACTGCACCTAAATGTCGGTCATATTCCTGAGTTATTTCACCCGAACGTATATCCCACTATAACGAAAATTCGTTTATTAATTATTCAATTCCAGATTTATTATTATCAAATTATCTCTCATGCTAATTGTACTTTCATAGTCAAGAATAAACATTGTCACACACATATATCATATTATCTTGAACTTTTGTGAAATTATACAACTACTGATATTTGAAATAATTTCACAATATATTTTTTACAATATATACTGTACTTACACAAATAATTTTCTTATCGCTGGTACCAGCCACAAAAAGATGTTGTTTATCCGGATCGGGATTGAACTTGGCACAGTATGGGATTTTTCTATTTGTAAAACGACTGATACAAGCTCCCGTTTCCGTGTCCCATAGTTTCACATACCGATCATAAGCCGCTGATAAGAATCGCTTGCCGTCATTGTCGAAACTTATATCGCGCACCGCTTGACGATGTCCGTAATATGTACGAACGCATCTCCTATCTTTATACACTTCCCACAACTACATATAATAAAAGAGATATTTGCAATACATTAGTTACACACAAGGAATATATTAATAGATCAAAGTAATAAAATAACCATCACATTATTTAACGAAATGAATACCTTTATTCGACAATCCATGCTAGAAGATAGTAACAAGTGTGCTGTACGAGGGAACCATCGAATTTGCGAGATGCCTTTTGTATGGCCTTCCCATGTGTGAATTTGCGCTTTTGGTAGGAAACAACGATCGGGTGGTGATTCCGATCTCAAATTTACGCCTACATCCTGAGGTGCGTGTAAGAACGAGCGTCCTTGATAATCCACACTGTCTTTGACTGCAATATAAAATTATTAAGTATCACAAATAATTTTAAAAGCGATAAAAAGCTATTATTGGCGTATTTGTTCTCTTTTTCGAAAATATTTAAAATAAGGAATTTTCTTAAAAATTTAAACTGGAACTGTAATCAATTAAATCATTACTCGTGTTAAATTAAGATTTTTATTTTATATATATATTAGTTATTTATATACAAATAAAACTACCTATTTTGTGTATTACTTTTATATATATACGTCTCTTGATTTACTTAATTATATAACTTATATGTGTTTTGTATAACATCTTACAAAATCTAATTAAAGTTTTTTTTTGCTATATTACTATTATAATTTATATTCAGAAAATATCAAACTTTTTGAAATTCTCACTTATATTTTGTGCAATATATACTGTAGAACTTATATTAGTTAAAAGGAATCGATAAAAGAAGTAGTTTTTATATATAAGTAACAATGTTTATATTACCATAACTAGCAAATGTTCTTCTTTGATTTTCAAACTGAAAGGGGCTAATGTGTGCATGTTCTACATATCCAGAAAGCATATTTTTCACAGCGCGCTGCTGCTGCGTTTTAAATGGATTTTCTGGTCCAACCTCCGGTCCAAAAAGTTCCTCGTGTTTCAAATTAGATGTTATTTCTGTAGCAGTTCTGTAAAGATGTTTTGTATACAGTTCTGTTCCCTAAAAAAGTAATAGATATAGATGAATCTCGTTTTTTTGTTTTTTTTTTAAGTTATAAAGATAACTGTTAGAAATTAACGATATCATCACGTATTATTATATGTTCATAACCTCAAAAATAAAAATCACGCAATAAGTGAATATTTACCGTGGGGATAACGTCTGGAGCAGAACAGATATATAAATTAATAGGCGTTGTCATGGTGTAAGTAACAAGGTGTGCTATCTTCTTCTTCTTCTTGTGAATGGCACCAGGCCTGAGACACACTGGCCCACACGGCCAATTCGATGAATATGGATAGCACTAATGTTGCAGAGATCAGATTAGTATAGAACTGGTAAAAAATGTGAATACAAAGGCGTTAACAAACAAAAATCCTCTAGTTAGAGAAGGATAAAGTCCAAAAAATAAGGTCCAAACAAAAGACACACGCTCAACGCGTCAGAACACGTCCGCTCCCGATCAAGGCCGCAACAGAAATGAAGGTGTGCTTGCTATCTGCTATCTCCTCGGACGAATTTTCGTCACATTCTGCCATGAAGGAAGAGTAAAGGCGCCTTTACATGGCAGCGTTAAGGTACATTTTCATGTGCTGCAAACTCGTGCAGCAATGAGGTCACGTGATCGAAATGGACGAATCAGCGGCCAGACCGTCGTCAGTCATTCGTCCATTTCGATCACGTGACTTTTTTGCTGCATGAGTTTGCAGCACATGAAATTGTACTTTTAGGCCGATATTACATTTGTCGTACGACAAAATTTTTAAGCATATTGATTGGCTGCAAAATAGAAACTTTCTTGAATCTCTAGAAATTAGCTATTCAATGCGCTTAGAAAGTTTGTCGTACGACAAATGTAATATCGGCCTTAAGCATCGAGCGTCTGCGCAAAAAAATGCGCAGAATTTAAACGAGATAGCATAGACATAGTATATACTATGTCTATGCGAGATAGATTTTAGGCTGAAATTAGATTCTGCGCAATTTTCTGCGCAGACACTCGACGCTTAAGTGCTGGTTTACAATAGGCATATTCCAATCATCACCAAACGACCACCAAACGATTAGATAATTTTAATTATCAAAAAGTTAAAGTGGTCCGGCTAACTTTACGGATCCCCCATCCTCCCATACGCCTCGAAAAGAGGTGGTTGGTTTTCATACATTTATCCCCTATATAGTACCTATATCAGTTTCTCATATACATTATCCTATAATTCAAGAGCGAGCGACTCATTTTCGATTTCGCTACCCTCGTCACTGCTGTTATATTCACAAAGAAGGCTGAGAACTTCAAATTAGATGTTATTTCTGTCGCAGGATCTATATGTTTCATATATAGTTCTGTTCCCTAAAAAAGTAATCGATATAGATGAATCTCGTTTTTTTTTTCAGTTATAAAGATAACAGAAATGAACGATATCATCACGTATCATTTGTTCATATTCAACGTATCTCTAATCCAAAGTCTCCGCTACACCCCACTTTTGTAGGAAGAGTCATTTGTGAACTCGACGTTAAAGAGATCATGGAAATAAAGAAAATTGGATATTCTAAAGCCTCGGTTTTCTTTAAAACCAGAGAGGCTGCCAACGCCTTAGTAGAAGACAAGAGACTCTCTCTCAATGATCTAGAAGCATTCATTCCCCCCTTCCGCACTTCTAGGAAGGCCATTATCAGAGACGTCCCACAGGATTTTTCTGACCATGAGATCTTAAGCAATATCACAAGTCCGATCAAAGTTGTCGCTGTCAATAGAATGAATCGGAGAACCACAACTAACTCTCATACGGATTCTCAAGAAGATTCTTCATCCTCATCTGTCACTTACGTGCCTTCTCTCTCTGTCTCGCTCACCTTTGAGGATCAAAAGATCCCGAATCATGTATTCATGTTTCACGTCAGGTATCCCGTGTCTCCATACGTTGCAAGAGTCTCACGATGCAATCGCTGTTTTAGATTTGGACACATTCAAACCAACTGTAAAAGTCAGCCATGCTGTGCACACTGCGGTGACAAAGGACATACCTATTCCAAGGAGAACTGTCAACGTGCTCAAAACCCGCCAAGGTGCGTGAATTGCCAGGGTGAACACAAAGCAGACTCTACTCTCTGCCCGGAACTATCCATACAGAAGGAGATCAGGAAATACGCAGCTTATAAAAACGTTTCTCTGTTAGACGCGAGAGAAATCTTTAAAGGTAACAGATCTCCTCCGCCTTATTCCTCTTCCTCTGAAGACTTCCCCAACTTACCCTCTACACATCCTAAAGCATGTGCCTCTCATTCTAACTCCTACTTGCTCCCTCCCCTCTCTACCTCCATTTCTCCCTCTGCTTCGTACGCCAACGCCTCTAAACATCTTTCTTCTAACCTTATAACTCAGCCTTCCCCCCTTTTGAACCTAACGCGCAATTCGAAACTTAAATCCGTTTCTCTGCCCCAGCTCGAACAATCTAATAGACTCCCCTCTCCTTCTCGTTTTCAAAAACAACCCCGCTCAAATGTCTCTTTTTCTACTCCCTCTACTCCCTCTTTTCCTGTTCCGGCTCCTCCTTTCAACTCGGTCGCTAACTCTAGACTCACCTCCAACCCTCCAACTCTTCATGAGGCCCTTCTTCTTTTGGCTCCCCTTCTCTCTCAACTCTCTCCTCTGCTTTCCTCCATCAACTGGTCCGATGTCATTCCTGCAATCATTCAGTTCCTTCACGCTTTCGCTGCTAATCCGGCTCCCGCCCCCTCTCATTCCTCCGTAAATGACTAGCTGCCATTTCCTTAACGAATTCTCCCTATTCCAATGGAACTGTCATGGCATCCTTAATAAAACGGACATCCTCTCCCAAATCGGAAGCCAGTATGACATTCTAGCTCTATCTGAAACCTGGCTCTCGCCAGACAAATCTTTTTTGCTAAAAGACTACAATATATTACGTAAAGACGGTCCCTCCAATAGATCCGGAGGGGCCCTGCTGGCTGTCAAGAACGTTATTCCTTTCACCAAACTCGACTCCATCTACTCTCCAGATGGAATTCTTGAGGCGGTGGGGATCAAAGTTCCCTCCTCGCTCAACGACATTCTCATCATTTCTATCTACAGACATCCCACTCTTTCGGACCCTCTCCTTTGGGAGGACTTTTTTAATTCCATCCCTCCCTCCCCCCAAATTATCATCAGAGGCGATTTCAACGCACATCACTCATCCTGGGGCTGTAATCGCTCTGATTCGGTGGGTAACTCTTTATTCAATTCCTCTCAGGACTTCTTCTTTTTTCCAATCAATGATAGTACCCCTACCTTTATCTCCTTTTCCTTTCGCTCTTCCTCTGTCATTGATCTAACCTTTGTCTCCTCCAACCTAATTCCTTACTGTTGCTGGAACCCTCTCGATGACTCTCTGGGCAGTGATCACATCCCTTCCGCAATCTCGGTCAGTTACCCTATCAAGTCTCGCTCTTTCTTTTCGCACCGTCTTCAGACCTCTAAAATTAAACGTAAACTTCTTTTCGCTACTCTTTCACTCTCTTTTCCCGCATTTTATGCGCGCCTCGAATCCAAAATCTCTTCTCCGACAGAAAAATACAACGCGTTCTGCAACTTTCTTAAAGACACTGTGATCTTTCTCCTCCCCGAGCGCAAAGCTGACAAGAACAATCCTTCCAACAAAACGCGAGCAAAAAAAAATAACAAGCATAACGGATTTTTAACTCATCCTCCCGCCCCCTAGTGGAGTGAAAGCTGCACCGAAGCTGTTGATCTGAGAAGACAAGCATTGCGCGCTTTTCGTTGTAACCCTTCCAGGCTCACCTTCCTCAATTTGAAAAGACAGGAAGCCCTTACCAAAAAAACTCTCCGTCAAGCCAAACGCAAGGGATGGAGATCTTTCTGCGAATCTATAACTTCCTCTACTAACATCTCAGCATTATGGCGCATCGTGAAAAGGTTCAAGAACAGATTCCTCAATCCCCACCCTCTTTCTCCTCCTTCTAACTTTGGTATTCCACCCGAGATCCAAAACCTAATCAACTCTATTGCTCCTCCTTCATGCCTTCACGAGCTCCCAACTTCTTCTTTCAATTCCGACCGTCTCTACTCTTGTCGCATCTTTGACAATCCCTTCCGCTTAGACGAGCTTCTTCACATCATCTACCCACTCAAATCCAAAAAGTCTTCTCCCGGTATGGATCAGATCGATTACTTCATCCTATCCAGCCTCCCAGAGGAATACTATCCCGTTTTCCTCTCTATACTGAATGACCTATTCCTTTCTGGGGAATTCCCAGAGTCCTGGAGCCATTCCTTAGTCTACCTCATTCCCAAAGCTACTCCGAGGAAATTCCGCCCCATTTCCCTCACTTCTGGCTGCCTCAAAGTTCTCGAAAAACTTGTCCTCTTCAGACTCGACTGGTGGATGGAACGCTATGAAAAGCTCCCCTCATCACAATTCGGTTTCCGGAAATATTGCTCCTGCCAAAACAATCTCTCCATCCTCACTACCAAAATTCACACCAGCTTCACCCGGGGCACAGCCACTGCATGTTTATTTTTGGATCTCTCCAACGCTTTTGACGACGTTATTCCCTCCATTCTCATCTGCGACCTAGAAGAGCTAGGCCTTCCTCCTCATCTATGTCACTTCATTTACAGACTTATCCACGCGCGCAAACTTCAATTCGTAGTAAACGGAGAACTTACAGACGAATATTTCTCATATAAGGGCGTCCCACAAGGCTCTATCCTCAGCCCCATTCTTTTTAACATATACATCTCGAAAATTAACAGACACATCGGAGAAGACTGCGAGTTGATTTAATTCGCGGATGATATTGCCATTTTTGTCAGTTCTAACAAAATAGAGAGCGCACTTCAAGAACTAGAAACTTCATCCAATAAGGTTTTCAAATATCTCTCTTCCAAAGGCCTAACGGTCTCGCCCTCAAAATCATCATTAATCATTTTCACGAAAAAACACATCAATTCATTAGCCTATTCTATCAACTTAAATAATTCTGTCATCTCCTCTACCGATATCTGTAAATTTCTAGGCATTCATCTTGATTTCCGTCTCTCTGGCAAGAATCACATACAAGCTCTCTCTGTTCGATGCTCCAAACTCCTTAACATTCTCAACATGCTAAGAGGCACCTGGTGGGGAGGAGCGCCCTCCTCGCTGCTGAATATTTACAGAGCTCTTATAAGAGGTTCCATGGAATATGGATGCCTCACATTTCCGTTCAATAACTCTTCAACTATGTATAATCTGGAAAAAATCCAATATCGCGCCCTTCGTGCTTGTCTTGGTTTTAGAAGGACTACTCCCACGAATATTATTCTCGCCGAAGCCAGTGAGGGCCTTTTAAGATCCCGATTTGAACTCCTTACCTCTAAATACATCCTTAAGATTTTCGCGCTCGATTCTCATCCGCTCATTGACAAACTATTTGCTCTTTTGTGGTACTCCCGCAGAACCCCTAAAATAAATCCTTCGGAGAGGTTCCTCTTATTTAGATCCTTCAACACTTTATTGCACTACAAGTCTTATATAAAAAAATTTGACTACCCCGCTGTCTATTCCACCGACTACGACGCTCTTATTTCTCTTCCTTTTATCGTTATCACCTCCGCCATTGAAGTGGAAAAAATCAAAAACTCTCCTATCCCCCAGATCGTCTTCTTCGATACATACAAACACCTAATCACCTCTTCCAGGTCCTTCTTTACAGACGCCTCTAAAAACGACTCGGATGAGCATGTGGGCTTCGCCATATACTCACCCTCTCCTCACTTGCAGCTTTTATTTAAGACCCACTCTTTCTCCTCCATCTTTACGGCAGAGGCACTGGCTATCCTCTACACACTCGAATACATTCTATCTAACTCTATTTCCAAATCTGTTATCTTTACCGACTCCAAAAGCGTCACCGAAGCACTTCTTTCTATCAACTTAGCCCATTCGTATAACTACGTCATTTACGCCATCAAACAAAAACTTTATGAGTTAAAATTGGCTGGATATGAGAACAACATCTTGGCTCAGCTGACAAAACTCGAGAAGAATCCGCCATTCAAGATTCAGGATATTTTGGAAAAACCTTCCTCCGGGGTTGTCCACACATTATACTCCTTTTTCAGATCTTGTAACCTAAGCATTTAACACATCCCGAACCATTCACCTGCTCATTTACTCTCTATTTTACACATCTCTTTAAACCGGTTTTTGGCCCGAATATACTGATCTCCCCCTAGATCAGAAGTGGCCATTTAATAGCAAAGAAGAAGAAGAAGAAGAAGATCACGTATCATTATATGTTCATAATCTCAAAAATAAAAATCACGCAATAAGTGAATATTTACCGTGGGTACTCTGGAGCGGAACAAATATTTTTAAGTTAACCCTTAACTACACTGGCCAAATCTGGCCTACACAACAACATTCGCGGACTAGTTCTGTACCCCAAATTTTGATAAGAGTTTTAACTGAAATGAAATTTCAAAAGTTGGTGTTTTTTTTGGTTTGATGCAATAATTAAACATTCTGCAGCTGAAAGATAATCATTTATTACAAATATAACAAAAAATCAAGTTTGTAAGGCTCTAAGTAACAAAAATAAAGATTTTCTTCTAATTTTCGACAACGTTAATTTTAGGATATTTTTTTCTGAATCGGTAGTTTCTTGTAAAAGGTTTTTAATAGCCTGTTCCGATAGATTGCGATTTATGATGGATAAAACTACCTGAAAAGAAAAATAAAGTAAAAAAAAACTTACATAACATTACCCGCAGAGTACAAACGTATCCCAAACGAACGATATCTCCATTTACAAGCACTTGTCCGCGGCGAACGTCCTCTTGATGTAAGATGCGGACTGGCCCTGAGAATACATGAAGGCGCGACAACGTCGCTTGTGCCATACGAGAAATATTTGTGTAATTGTGTGCGGTGGGGTACGTTTGTAACCCGCCAGTGTAGTTAAGGGTTAATAGGCGTTGTTAATTTATCATGAGCGAGCGACTCATTTTCGTTTTCGCTACCCTCGTCACTGCTGTTATATTCACAAAGAAGGCTGAGAGCCATGGTCACAGTTTAATTAAATTTTGAAAATAAATTTTGAATTATGTACTTCCCTTAAAAATCCCATAGGACAGATCTTATGCCCGTATCAGACTACGCATTGAAGATTGAGATTGAAAATCGAAGATTGAAATTTGACTAATCAAAACAAAAGGGACTAAAATTTTTTTGTCCTGATTGGTCAAATTTCAATCTTCGATTTTCAATCTCAATCTTCAATGCGTAGTCTGATACAGACTTTACGCATGCGCACTTTACGTCATCGATCACTTGAATAATGTCCACAGACTTGTACATAGCTTGTTAAACTGTGACCATGGCTCTCAGCCTTCTTTGTGAATACAACAGCAGTGACGAGGGTAGCGAAAATGAAAATGAGTCGCTCGCTCATGATAAATTAACAACGCCTATTAATTTAAATATCTGTTCTGCTCCAGACGTTGTACCCACGGTAAATATTCACTTATTGCGTGATTTTTATTTTTGAGGTTATGAACATATAATGATACGTGATGATATTATTCATTTCCAACTGTGTTATCTTTGTAATTAAAAAAAAAAATACATTAGATTCATCTATATCAATTACTTTTTTAGGGAACGGAGTTGTGTATAAAACATGTAGATCCCACCGCTACAGAAATAGCATCTAATTTGAAGTACGAGGAACTTTTTGGCCCGGAGGTTGGACCAGAAAATCCATTTAAAACGCAGCAGCAGCGCGCTGTGAAAAATATGCTTTCTGGATATGTAGAACATGCACACATTAGCCCCTTTCAATTTGAAAATCAAAGAAGAACATTTGCTAGTTATGGTAATATAAACGTTGTAACTCATATATAAAAACTACCTCTTTTATCGATTGCTTTTAAATAATATAAGTTCTACAGTATATATTATACAAAATATAAGTAAGAATCTCAAAAAGTTTTATATTTTCTGAATATAAATTATAATAGTAATATAGCAAAAAAAAACTTTAGATTTTGTAAGATGTTATACAAAAGAGGAGTTATATAAGTTATATAATTAAGAGAGGAGTTGTATAAGTTATATAATGAAATAAATCAAGAGACGTATATATATATATAAAAGTAATACACAAAATAGATAGTTTTATTTGTATCTAATAAAAATCTTAATTTAACACGAATAATGATTTAATTGATTACAGTTCCAGTTTAAATTTTTAAGGAATTTCCTTATTTTAAATATTTTCGAAAAAGAGAACAGATATGTCAATAATAGCTTTTTATTGACAGTATTACATAGTAATATCTTTGTATACATTCTTAGAAAAAACAGAATTGCTATTTTTGTTCGTATCAAGTCGTAACTTATTCTATTATTACTAAACATATAATTCAGATAAAACATTAATAGTGAAAGATAAAAATCTTAATTTAACACGAATAATGATTTAATTGATTACAGTTTCAAAATACGCCAATAATAGCTTTTTATCGCTTTTAAAATTATTTGTGATACTTAATAATTTTATATTGCAGTCAAAGACAGTGTGGATTATCAAGGACGCTCGTTCTTACACGCACCTCAGGATGTAGGCGTAAATTTGAGATCGGAATCACCACCCGATCGTTGTTTCCTACCAAAAGCGCAAATTCACACATGGGAAGGCCATACAAAAGGCATCTCGCAAATTCGATGGTTCCCTCGTACAGCACACTTATTACTATCTTGTAGCATGGATTGTCGAGTAAAGGTATTTATCTCGTTAAATAATGTGACGGTTATTTTATTACTTTGATCTATTAATATATTCCTTGTGTGTAACTAATGTATTGCAAATATCTCTTTTATTATATGTAGTTGTGGGAAGTGTATAAAGATAGGAGATGCGTTCGTACATATTACGGACATCGTCAAGCGGTGCGCGATATAAGTTTCGACAATGACGGCAAGCGATTCTTATCAGCGGCTTATGATCGGTATGTGAAACTATGGGACACGGAAACGGGAGCTTGTATCAGTCGTTTTACAAATAGAAAAATCCCATACTGTGCCAAGTTCAATCCCGATCCGGATAAACAACATCTTTTTGTAGCTGGTACCAGCGATAAGAAAATTATTTGTGTAAGTACACTATATATTGTAAAAAATATATTGTGAAATTATTTCAAATATCAATAGTTGTATAATTTCACAAAAGTTCAAGATAATATGATATATGTGTGTGACAATGTTTATTCTTGACTATGAAAGTACAATTAGCATGAGAGATAATTTGATAATAATAAATCTGGAATTGAATAATTAATAAACGAATTTTCGTTATAGTGGGATATACGTTCGGGTGAAATAACTCAGGAATATGACCGACATTTAGGTGCAGTGAATACTATTACGTTCGTCGATGAAAACAGAAGATTTGTTACAACGAGTGACGACAAAAGTCTGCGAGTTTGGGAATGGTATTGCTTTATTATCCATAAATTATTTTATTTCCAAAAAATATTTATTATCGGGGTTATTTTCGAAAAATAAGATTGATTAATAAATTCTTCTTATATATCCGAAGCTCTTATCTCCGAGGAGAATTCTTTCGATCGCGCTATCAATTGTTATCAGAATGAGCGATGATCCGAAATCGCTGTGCGATTGCTCTCCCCCGCTCTTGCGGAAGAGAGAAACACTGTTGCTCTCCAAAAAATAGGAAAAAAAAAAAAAAAAAAAAAAAAAAAAAAAAATTATAAATTCTCTTGAAATGTTTTCTTCTCGAAGTGAATAAACAATAAAATAATGATGTAACGATATAATGTGAAATAATGTTGCCAATCTTGCGACATCTCGTAAATGTATTTTTTGCACTTTGCACTATTACATGCATATGCATTTAATTAATTTTATATAAAAACATTTCTAGAAAAATATTTGTTTTATTAAAATAATTACGTTTTTTTTTGTTTTTGTTTTTTTTAAATAGCTACTTGGTGTCGGGTGATGCAGACGGAAGATGTTACATATGGGATTGGAAAACAACGAAATTGTATAAAAAGTGGAAAGCACATGACGGAGTATGTATCGACGTACTGTGGCATCCGCACGAGCCTTCTAAGCTCGTTACAGCTGGTTGGGACGGAAAGATCAAATATTGGGATTAACGGATCAATACTTGGTTTTTCAATTTTAAAGCTGTATTTTGTAAGAGTGTTTTTTTTATTTTTTAGAATAAAATGTACATATATGTAATAAGTAATTTATTTTAATCGTGGGAGATCTGCTTTTATTTCTCAATCCTTTCGTCCCGTTCACGCGAATTCCTTATCCAATCTCAACAAATGTATCATCAGTGTATATAAAATCGACTTCAATTGTATTTTAGTTTCACAAGGCATATATAACGTATAACAATGCTATTGAAACCTCTTATCTAGCGATACAAATATTTGCCCCGTTATTCAACGTACCGTTTCCAACCCCCGGATGCCGATGAGTTAGCAACCCTGATTCGTAGCATATGACGTGAAAATCAATAGTGCGCGCGTCTCGCGATGTTCTTCGTTCGTACATACACCGCTCGCATTCGTGTGATCGCTCTCGTATTTTCGCTTGTAAAACTACGCGAAACGAATGTCAACGAATCCCTTATCTATGCTTAATACAGCATCACGCCGATGAAATCGTCCCTGAATTATGCCGGTGGGTGGTATTTATCAAGGATACAGGTAGAAGTAGCATCTATTATCACGCAGTAAAGTAAAAAAGGTGAGTTTATTGTTTACATGCACGACGTGTATATCTGCATAAAATTCGTCGTTTATTATGAACTGTATATTATTGCGATTAGTCGGATCATTATTTCGCGCGCGATAAATTTCTCTATTGAAAAATGATAGGTATCGTGTAAGATATCTTTTTACATATACCTCTCTTTCTTTTTGTTAAAATATTTCTTTCTTATTTTGATTAATTGCGTGAATAAATTAAGATGAAACAAAAATCTTTTCTATTTAATAAAAAAGAAATTGGTAAACTAAAAGATATACTTTATCCTTTATATCCATTCAATACTACTGTAATTTGTATGGCAAAATATTTTCGACATAAAAGTGTTTTTTATAAATTGAAAACCATTTAATATTGTCAGTGTCACACTCGTAATTTGTGTAAATTTCTGTTATTTCATTTTTTGACATGACTAATAAGACTTTGAAGTGCTTGTATCTGTAAATTCCATTAATATATATAAAAAAAATAGTTTTGCAGAATTTCATTACATCTCGTCATTTTCTTGTAAAATATTGAAATTGTTATTTTTTCCGCTAAATTCTATAAAAATTCAATGCATTCTTCGCGAAAAGGAAAATATATATATTAATAATGCATAAAAATACATGTATTGTATAAAAATAAAATTGTATATTAATTATTGACTGTAAAATAAAAAAAAATGCACATAATCAGAATCGTTAAGTATATGAAAAATTTCGCGGAATCTTGAAGATGATGGACGGACCCGGATTAGGATACTCGTATCACCTTCCATCCGCTGGTTGGAATCTCAAGGTCAGGAACGCACTGTCACAGTTCAGTGACCTCTTTAGCGAATTTAACAAGTACATCGCGCCTGCTTATCATCATGATCGCTGCGAGAGGTAAGCAATTTTCCGAAAAATTATATTTAAAGAACTCAAGAAAACCCGATAGAAAAAAATAGCAGGACTGTTTAAAAAATTCGTTCCTTTCCTTCTTTTTATTATAATATATGAATGTATACGTGAGGGCCATATAAAAAAAGCGAACGGATTTTTTTTTCTATCACAATTTGACATAATTCACGACGTTCATATTTATGATATGAGATGTCGCAAAATATATTTTTTTTCGTCACTAATTCATTTATAATTAATTCATGAAATCCATATATTTTAGCTGTATATCATTAATTTAAATTTATCGTCTAGATCCGTGCAGATGCGATTGTATTCGATGCACAAGAGGGAATTTGTTATGGTATTCGTTGCCTTTTTTGCGTGTTTTGGATTATCGGTGTTTATCGGCCTCGCCGGTGAGTATTCTAGCAATAATTTTCCAATCATCTCGAGATACCGTAAATCGTGCGATACCCGAATAACGAATTATTAATCTTACAAAACAATGATGGACGTATTGAAAGATATTGACGCTTTTAAAGGACCGCCTATAACGTCGACCAGTGAACACAAAGAGCATCTGAACGGCAGCGAGATGGCCACTGGTCCATTCATTATGAAGACACCTCTATTGTCTACGTATAGCCAGCAATTATGGGTAATCGCCAAGCTATCGACATCGAATAATGATGGTAATATATGATTTTCATTTGAACTAATAGTGGAAAACGTTTAAGGACGATATATAACTCGATAATTAAAATAGGATAACTACCTCGTTTATTTTTCTCACGGTAAATTTCTTGCTAATTTAAAAATAAATTATATGCAAGATTTTTAATTTTATGATAGAGATCGCAGCATTGTTCTTACGTCTTTACAATTACGATTTAATGAAAAGAAAATCCAGATACATTTCTTTTGCATTCTAATGTATAAAAACATATTTTTATCTACTTTAAAAAATATATATTTATTAAAAAATGTTATAAAAATAAATATTTATAAAGAAATATATCTATTATCAATAATCGGTGACAATCTTTTTTGTAGACGAGAGATATGATAAAGGTTTCCAAGTTAGCGTCTCCATAGACGGTGTAACTGCTGATCGCAAGCTCGTATCTGTGCTACCTCCGGAAGCTGGACATAATCGGTACGAACGCTATGTATTATTTAATAAGATTACTTGGTAAAAGAGTTATTACTTCAATGATACATTCATGACGAGGAAGAATAAAAATTGTTAAAGCTAGAACGTGCACAATACGTGCGTTGCGATGAATGAAATTTGCATATTACAAATAGATCTAGAGCCTAACGTGTATAAAAAATGATATACGAAATTAGCGTGATCATTATTGTCTTCCAGAACCAGACATTTAAAGTGCGAGAGACAATCCTGCGAGGAGCTGGTCGTCGCTCATCTCGGATTCCTCGATTATAGCTACTACGTAATCACCGTCCGCTTCCATGGACTCGAGAGCTTCCACCACCGATACACGATACGAGAACTCACATTCTACGTCAGTAAGCACTGCACCCGAAATACGATCGCGTCCGTTTCGACACGACAATTCCGAACCTCGTCCTCGTATTTCCTGTTCACAGTTTAAGAACTACAATCCGGCGTTCACGCAGATCGAGATCTGGTTCCGATTGATCTTCTTGCTGACCACGTTCGGAGTAATGGTAATCCACGATCGCTACGACGATGACAACGCGTAAAACATATGATTAAAATGAGTCAAAGACCGCGTTTTATTGCTTCCATGAAACTGAACGAGTAATCTTCGATATCTAAGATCGGTCTCAAAAATTCAATATTTCTTTCTACTTCCAACACACCTGACGATGTCGGGTCATCAAATGTCGTGAAGTAAAAAAAAAAAAAAAATTCTGGTTAAACTTCTTATCTTGCATCAAATCGTTTTCAAGCAAATTAAATAGATATAACATTTTAAAAACTAAGTTTGATATTTGAAACATTATTTTCATAAAAAAAATAATATTATATATTATGAAAATATCTGTCATCTTGAAAAAAATTTATAGATATATATTTCGCGTGATAGAAGGATTAATTTTTATTAAGTTTATTGATAATTGAACCAAATCTTTTCACGAAAAAAGAAAAGAACACCCTTTTTTAAGAAATCAGAAAGAGATTCTAAAAACTAAGAGTCATCTTTGATCTCAATGATGAAGAACTCGCAATGTATCGCAAAATGAACTCGCATCTATTCTTTTTAACTCGACCCGGTTTTTTATTTCTTCGCGAATAATTAAAACTCGCTCTAGAAACTGAAAGAAGAAAAATGTATCCGCTTTCAGTGCTGGTTCGGTCATTCGCTTAGAAAGTATCCGCTGCACGATTGGTCGATAGAGCAAAAGTGGATCTCTATACTTCTTCCGTTATTGATTCTGTACAATAGTAAGTGTTCTTGAGATTGCATTGTTTTTACAAATCTTCATAATTTTTAACACGTTATCGAATTTATATTTTGTCCAAACAGATCCGTTATTTCCCATGACGTTCTTGGTGAACTCCTGGGTACCCGGTATGCTAGACGCGATTCTACAAACGACTTTTCTTTGTGCCATTCTCATGTTCTGGCTCTGCGTCTATCACGGCCTCAGACAGGTATTGATATTCAAAAAGTCGAGAGCGGAATAATTAATTAACCGCTGCAATAATTTTAATGCAAGACTGAAATAGTAAAAGATTAGATTAGCTGGCTAATTTGTTAAAGAGACAACAATACACTTCGAGACTTTCACTTAAAGTGCCTTTTTTAAGAGTGGATACATATATATTATGTATTTCAATATTATTATTTAATTAATTAATTAATTTGAAAATGCATTTTTTTCATTAAATAAGCAAGGTTTTAATTTAAAATATTTCTTTGGTTATATTTAAAGTATTTATGTATATCACTAATATTATATTGTATATTACTAATGGAAATTATTATTAGAAATTTGCATATATCATTGTATTTATCCTTTACATTTTTTGCTTATTATACGTGTCGAAATGTCATCAGTTGATCCTGATTAACCGTTCGTTTATTTTATTTCTTTAGAATGAGAGACGGCTAATCACGTTTTACTTGCCCAAACTCTTGGTAGTAGGCATGTTATGGGGTGCAGCGCTGACACTTGCCACGTGGCTTCGTTGCACCGAGCTGGAGGACCCCACTTACAATTACGTTCTCGATACATCGAATTACTACGTAAGTGTCACGTTAATTAATAAAGTTCATTACAATAAAATATTATCATTATTAGATACATTTGACGAAACATATTATTAATATATCGTTGTTATTGTATAAAAGAAAAAAAAACGATGCATCTTTCCGTGACATTTGCGTTTCTCGACAAATGCATTTACATATATCTTTGAAAAACCTTTTTCTTTTAAATTCGGTTGTCAATTGGCGATACCATATTTCCTCTTTCGACGATCTTAGCAATCTTGACAATTGGAGTTGTAAGACCAGTCGCACACCTTGAGACGTGAATTGAAGTAAAGTCCGGCGGGGCACGCCTGTAATCGCGGCGTTCCCCAATCGCACTGATAGAAACGATCGCACAGAAAGGGATGCGGCAGTATTAAGCCCGGATAATGAGCCGGGCATCGTGGAAACGGCCGCGGGCAACCGACCCAGGACGAGTCGCAGCCGGCCTGCCAGGGCCAGTCGCATACCTGGAAAACGGGATTGAAGTGCAATTCCTCCGGGCACTCGAACAGCATCGGCACGCCCCAGTCGCATTTGTAGAACTAAGTGAAAATACACACTCGATTAGTGTTTTATATTTTTATAAAAAATGTCAACAGGTCAAATTTATCCGGTTTTGCTTCCTTATAGAGGAAGCTTTGTTTTCATGACCATTTTTTTTCCATTTTTTTATGCCAATTTGTTCAGAATGTCGAAAAATGTCGAAAAATCACATTTTTTTAAATGTCCGTATGTATATATGTATATACGGATTGACCGAAAATGTCTGTGCAAGCTCTCTAACTTCCACAAATTTTGAGATATCGGGCTATTTTGAAATTTTTTTTAAATTAAATTTTTTTTTACACGAATAGAGTATTATTAAAGGATGGTTGGTATTGAATTTGATAAGAATTGATAAAAGGATTCATTTTTTTATAAAATTTTGAATTTTTTGGAAAATATCTATGCACGCTCTAACTTTCGTAAATTTTGAGATATTGGGCTAAATTTTGTTTATATGATAAATTTCTTTATGAGGAAGCCAAAATTGAAAAATCCGCTTGCTCTAAGGAAGAGCTTTCTAAGCGAAATAAAATGAAGCAATGTGCAAGTTTCTAATTTGCAAGATTTTCATCTTGTTTTTTTTTTCGCGAGGTAACTTACTAAACTGCAGTTAGTCGAATGGGATAGCAACACTTGATGTTCGTGATGAGCGAGATCGGTGCATGGATTTTTCTCTTCCGTCTCGATCATGCTCAGATTTTTCACGATGTTGATCTTGAGCTTCACCTCGCACATCGTCGCGTCGTCGGGATTGTACTCGTGTACCTGATAACCCCGTACGCGGTTCTCGTAATTCGTCGAGTCTTCCGTTAACGGTGGACATAAGAGCTGCATCGTGCAGCTTACTTGCAGCGGCTTCGGGTTGCCGTATTCCGTGATGTCTCTCCGAAATTCCACCGGACATTCGACAATCGTATACAATCCGCAGATTCTCAGCGAAACTTCCAGGATGATAATGCCGATCGCTAATTAAACAAAGGGCTGATTATTTACAAGTTTATTTTTCTCATTTTGAGATACAAAAAAAATTGAGATAAATTAAAATAAATGTAAAATAATATTATATATCGCGTATGTCTGAATAAACGATTTTGCGTGAAATAAAATTAAAATATATTATAATAAATAATTAAAATTAAAATGAAATTGAAATAAAATTTGATCGAAATTTATTACTATTATCTGATCAAAGTATTATAATTATACGTGAAAAAAGATAAAAATATTTTCTTATTTAATTGTATCACACTATTCTCCCAAAGGCTGAAGAAATATTTACCGAATTGTCTCATGTTCATGTATCGATAGATCAATAATTTTACTGTCACTCCCTCTCGACGTTGTAAAATACCTATTGTTTCCAACTCTCTTTCTGTTCCTTCTGCTGTATACGCGGATCGAATCACGAATCAGTACTGCCGTAAATATTTCCCATCGAGTGCCTTTTTCAAGATTACCAGTCCTCGATCTTTATTTGGCATCGCATCGAAAGCGGTTGAAGAGATCGAAACTGGTCTATCAATGAAGAACGGCAAAAAAATGTGATAGATCTCGCGATGAACGAGCGATATCACTTATAATAAAGGATATGTTACATCTGTGCCGTGTGTTCTTAATACGTTTTCATTTCCAGGGCTTCAAGGTATTCTTCTTCACAGTCGGTGGCTTCTACATCGCATACTTGCTGCTTCTTATATTGAAAGCATACAGCGAATTACGGTCTATGCCATACTTTGGTAAGTATACAAGACTTTCATTCGATAAAAATGCAATATGTCATACAGTGTGTAACTGCATCTTCTTATTTTTTTTTTTTTATTATGTATTATATAAATAAAGAATTCACAGATATATAAAAATAATACATTATCTTTTTTACATCAAAATTTGGCGTACAAAGTATATAGACAGGTCTATTCAAATTTTGTTTAAATATAAAAAAAATCCTTGAAAATTCCCTGAAAATATCCCGATATTCCAGATATTTTTGTTCAAAATTCCAAGTAAAGAGAATATTTTAAAGAATTTTAGATGTAATTTCCTAAAATTAGTTTTTTTATTGCATGCGTTTTCTAGTGCTTTTCATTCATACAAAGAGAAACGCAAAGTCACTTAAGTTTCAAGTGCTAGATTTATAAATATACTGGGAAAAAAAACTGAATAGTTTTTCATTAAGATAAAAATTTTTAACTTGCATAATATTTTCATTTTTTATCACTAAAAATTAAAATAAAGAATATGAACTGCATATTCAATATTTTGTTAAGACATTCAATATATCATATAAACAGAGATAGATATATATTTATAATATATTTTAAACACATAATTCACAGCTTGGCTTATTGACGGATTTTGCTTACAATACTCATATAAGAGAAAAATTATCAAAGAAAGAATTTTTTTTTAAATTTCCTGAATCCCAATAAAATTCCATGAGAATTCCCTGATTTTTCCAGGTATAAAAAAATTCCCTGAGAATTCCAGATTTTCCATGTTTTTCCAGGGAGTAGACATCCTGATAAAGAAATTTCTTTTTTTCAATGTAAAGATGACCTTACTAATTATTTGCATTCTTGGAATATTCGCAATTACTGAGTGATATTTAACAAGAAATTTGCCTTTTACAGATCTTCGTCTACGATTCTTGACACTACTTGCCGCGGTGGTGGCCGGCGTCTGCAGTTTGGTCACCGCCCGTCAATTCGGAGCCGGTGTATTAGAGGACAGTTTCGCCTCTCGCCTCTCCACTTATTATCGCACATCCGCGCAATTCATGGCCCTTTATGGTCTTCTCAATTTTTATTTGTACACCATGGCGTACGTTTACGCGCCCGCACTCCAGCAGGTCTACGGACAGCGTGAGTATCACGAAGGAGACCCTAGCTTCAACAATATCATATCCAACGTGACATTTACTTTTGCTTAATAAATAGCAAGGCAAGGCTATATAAAGTTGTAATGCCGAGAGAAAAAATTGAGGAAACGTCGAAAAATGTTGAAGAAAAAAATTGAAAAAAATTTGATAATTTTTTGCACATTTGTTTTCAAAATAAATGCGAAAAAAAGTTTCTCTTTTCGTTTATCCTGCCTACGTCATTGATGCTTTTATGAAAATGATACCTACAATATTTTATATTGCTATCGAGATCTCCTCATTCTTTTTCTATAACTCCATTTAATTATAAGATCGACTTAAAAATAATTATAAAGAAATTTTACAAATGTCATTATGACTGTCAAACTTTATTGGTTGATTATCTTTCGCGTATCCAGTTATATTATTAATATAGAAAATAGATATATTCCATTTTTTATGCTAAAATACAATTTCTTTATTACGTTTATTGCAGACTCATCGATAACGAAAGATAATCCTGCGTTCTCGATGTTCAACGATTCGGAGGAGGAAGTTATATACGGATCGGACGAGGACAGTCGGCGACCACTGACTCGCGTTCCGCGTAATACAGAAGACAGTGACTAAGGACCTTAAAAAAGAATTTAGTAACCCTCTACGCTAAGCGTATGGTAGATTTGTTAAACGAAGATATAATGAGAGAAGCAACAAAAGTTTCTGATTCGATGAATATTTCTAGTCTGATTCGCAGTCGTACTGCCGTCATTAAAAACTGCAAAAATGAAAAAAAAAAAAAACAAACTGAAGTTGTGCATAGGTAATTTGTTAAATAAACAAATATTAATTTTAAACTAGGATCTGTCACGTTTATGCAGTATTCAAGAAAAATGCATATTGTATATAAACTACATATGCTAATATGAATTTATGTCGTGTATAAAAATAAAACGTAAGAATTGACGGAAAGAGAATAGGAATAGGGGACGGAATGATGAACGGATAAAGAAAAAAACATAAAAAAAAGAATTTAGAAAATTTTTTAAATGATGCTGATTTTAAGAATTGTAAACTATTTGTAAAAAAAATTCCTTTCAATTTTTTTCTTGATTTATGTATTTTTATATAACGAAATTAGAGAGGCGAAGCATCCGGCATCTTCTTTATTTTTTTGCAGATAAATAAGATGACAGATATTTTAATTTGTGATTTGCGATATTGAATTTTTATATGCATTTATTTATTCATAATTTTCTAAAACTGTATTCTAAAATTCTATTCAATATTTTGATTATCATCTACGATGACATTTTTCACCGTAGAATCAAGATATTTTTTTCGCAATTAGATTTACGGTGTAAGATATAACGTTCATTAAAAAAGAATAATAAACATTGATAAGAGCCAAACTCTATTATATTACGTTATATATTCCTAAGATATTACCATAGTTTTTATACGAGATGTAATTAACTATTTGGTATGGCAAGAAAGTTTAATACAAATAATAGATATAGCATCTCTGTATAGTATATTATTATATAATAAAACGTTATTATTATTATTATTATTATTAATACACGAAAAATGTATATGTAAGAATACACCGATGTAATCGCGTGTTTTATACTTGAAAATCTGTTACATTTTTGAAAAAATTTATTCAAGACGATTTTAAGAATTTGCAATATGTATTACAATTACGATTATGCTTTTCTCAACAGTGTTAATTTATAATGATTGCTTATCGATTCTCATAATTATTCTCTTTTCGATAAACTTTATGATAAAACTTTGGAAATCTATCTATGTAAACAGAAATTTATTTAACAAAAACCTGCGTTAATGATTATAGTTTCTTATCACAGTTTATGTGCTGTAACACATACGACGCTTGCTATGTATCTAATAAAAAAAAAATCATACGAATCTCTAGAATATTTATTGTCACCAAACTAATTAGTTTGCGTTTGTAACATTTAATTCAATACTCTATCTTTGTATATTTTATTTGTCCCCGTCTGATTCCGCGATCGCTATTCCTTATCTAGTTTCATATCGTGTATCAAATAAAAATTCAAAGTTTGACAAAGATAGGATAAAAAAAAAAACGAGAAAGCGAATTCTTTAAGATTTATAAATCATAAAATTCTCGCATGAATTATTTCGAAGAAACAATTTCTGTATCATTCTATAGCGTTTCAAATTCTACAATTAAATTTAATAAATTTTAAGTATATATAACAGTATTATATAAGTAATTATAGGTTACTATAATTATATTTATATTACATTATAATTATGTATTATAATTGGAATAACTACAATATGAGATGCTTACTTTAGATCTTAAATTAAAAATTTTAGACGTTAAAAAGATTACGAGACGCAGGGAAGTAGAAAAGAGTCAATTTTGCCATTCAATGTATGGTTTTATATCATAATGTTATTACAGAAATGGTATTTCATAATAATTAAAAGTAATAGTAGTTTATTGGTGAATCACTCGCGCGGGTGCGTCGGCGGATTGATCATTATCGCGTGATCATCATCGCTTTTATATATCAATCGACGCGCGCGCACACATTTTTTTTTTTCTTTTGTTCAATTACATTTTCTTTTTGCATCAAATCTTCCCTTTTTTTCATCATTATTATTATTATCATCATACATAATGGAAAAAAATGTTACATTTGTACAGCCATCATATACATGTTACATTTAGAATACCGTTAATCCATTATCCACTTTTTTTTGTCTCGTTAAATGTGTGTATAGAGAAAGAGAGAAAGAGAGAGAGTATCAAGTGTTCCTTTTTTTTTCTCTCGGTGTGTGTATGTGTGTCTGTGTATACGTGTATCTTGACGTGTAAATATATGCCTATTTAATGAGAATGAAATGCTATTTAGTCTCAACACAAACTACCAGCACGGCTCTCTGCATCGTATAATCGATCACTAGGAGGTGGATTTCTGGAGGAATTCGTGCGCGGAGAATTCACAAGAATTCGAAAATTATACTTTTACGTCGGATTTATATATATTATATATCGAATTTTATATATATATATATATGTCGAAAATGAAGAAAGACAAATATGAAATACTTCACGCGTGTACGTAACGCACATATACATAGACTACAATCTCAGCCTCCTGTAACAATGTAGATCGCCCTACGTGCAATTTGTATTAAATCTAGAGAGTGTGACGAAGGGAGAGAGAGAGATATATAGAGATGACAATAAATAAGATCTAAAAGTAGATAGTAGTATTTTTCGCTGCGTATAAAAAAAAGACAAAACTCAAGCAAGACGAAAGCAATACATGTGTGTAATTATTTGTATATATAAACGATTAATCAATACAATAATCACTGCATCTACTTAGTCGTAATACGTAGCCGTTTGCAGCACGAGAACAAATCTTATTTATCACTCTACTCAAATATGTATAACCTTCCTTAATTGATTATTTATAACTTTATTTACTTCATTATTTCAATGCGCGGCGGACCGCTACCGAGACAATTCTAAGATAATAACTCGATAGATCTCTAATCCTCAGTGTATACGTGTGTATGTGTGTCTATGTGTGTGTGTGTGTGTATGTGTATATAAAATGCAATTACATTGTCTCGCGGCTTTTCTTTATAATCGAGAGATGAAGAGAGGGAGAGAGAAAATTAAACTAAATATTAATTAAAGTAGACAGGGGCGGAAAACAGTGTGCAATCGTCTCCCATAATAGATAATTAATAAAATCAAAATGCAAATACACGATAAAATAATAAAGTCGAGAAAATAATCGTAAAACGAAATCAACGAGATTGGTTTACAAATAGATCTCAACGGTTCAAGGCAACGAGCGCGATAAATTCGCCGGCTGCGATCAGAAATTAATATGTGAAATCTCTATAATTGTGCAAACAAAATTAATCAAATTACTCCCGAAACTAATCGAAACACTAGTTTTTCTTTGCTAGTAAAATGTTACAATTATTATAGTTTATTATCCAGATATTAAACCACATTTCGAGAGAAATCTTATCGCCTTAAAACGCGTTTTTTTAAATGTACGAATTAAAAGCACATCCATTAAAATTTAATTTTTTATTTCGACTGAGTAAGCTTCCTGAGTAAAATTCACGTCGTGATATTATGCAATAAAATTTTGGCCGTTAATTGTAATTTTCTTCAGATTTAATTGTACTTTACAACTGCGTTTCTCAAAAATTGAAATCTGTATTATATTTGCTTATCATTTTTATACAAGAGCTACGATATCCTGATATTGCAACTTGTTGTAATAAACATTAATGTAACTATTTTCAAATCGACAGTAACGTTAGTTTATACAGATTTAACGGAATAATTATATATCGACAATACTTGAAGTGATTTTAAGTGATACTCGTAAATTGTACTCCAAGTAGATGTTTTTCTATTTCTTTTTAATTTTATACACATACTCGATGATATAAACAGACTACAATTACAATTATAAAGATGACAAATGATTATTTATATGCGCCCTTCCTATATCGCGCTGTCGCCGCGAACCGTTGTAACGACAGAGAGTGAAATAAAGATTGTGAAATATAAATCGGAACAAAGACGGAGCGAGGAACAAAACCGAAGAAACGCGTTTAAATATCTCGAAACACATTTCCAGATTTATTCCAAGATTTAGCCAGCGCGTAATCGGTCGAGTCTTATCGTCGAATATTTTCGTCAAACGAATCACTATGAGTCTCTTTTCCCTTTATTACGACAATTGTATATGCAGTTTATCGTGTCTTACGTAAAGTGGCGGAATATAATAAAGACTTTGTCCACACTATTTAACTCCTTTATAAGATTGCCTCCGAAAAATGCTCCCTCGTTATTTCGCTTCCTCTTTTTTTTTTTTTTTCGCTTAAATAATACAATGACATTTTTCTCTTTTTTATCTACTTGCACTGTTCTGCCTGTTTGTAAAAAACATTGTCGAAAATGATCCTTTTTTTTTTTCTTCAATGGCTATTTCATCGTCTCTACGTTCTATACACTAATATACAAGTTATGTAATTTTGCCTTTCTTGTAATCCGTATGCCTGTCCGTCTCACTTATCTAATTATCCGCTAATATGGAATACACCTCTCGCGGCTGTTTTTCTTTTCCTTTTATTTCCCTCTGCATCTATCGCGTGTGTCTCAGACAGCGCACCACTGGCTCGTATATTTATCGCGCAGCTTACACGAATATTTTTGGGCGAAATAACGATTCCTTCGTTATAATAAAAAATTTAGCGCATTGTGTGCCGAGATCTGTATCGTTAATCGATTAACAGTGACGTATTCAATTGGCGATACGTCCATTCGCAAGTTTTTACAATTTCGACGTATGTTTCAAAGATATTTTTTTTCCCCGAGGAACTTCTCGTTTCTTCGCGGGATAATGTTGCGTTCGTGCGCATTATAGGAGCCAGTGACGGATACGAACAGCGTTACGCATACATATATGACATATATCAGACAAATATATACGAGATATTTATATATATATTTAATATATACGTTTGGTATATATACGAAATATATATATACTTAATTAGCCCTGCGATTCCGTATTGTTGTGTACTTGTGTTATTCGCGTGTGTTAAAGCACGTGTTGTCGGTGGAGGTGGCGGAGGCGGTGAAAGAGGAGCATGACTTATGTGAAATGATGAGAATAGCGCGCTACTGTACATCAGTCTTAATATCAGGGCGCACCATTCCCGTTGATGTTCGCTTGCTTATCCCTCTTTGCAATTTTACAATATCGTCGGTCTCAAAATAAAAAAAAAAAAATCTCATTAAATGTCCCCTCTAAATATAGACAATCCATTTTACAAATTTCATCTAAAGGTTTCTTTAGATTCATACGAATGCAACTGTAGTTATCAAAGAAAATTGAATTCTAATAATTTTACATTATTAGAATATATATAATTATATATA